TAATAAAATTATAAGCAGAAATCTTTGGAGAATTTAAATTATCAATTTCTTTTTTTCTTTTTGTCAAACAGGAACCCTAGAAAATCTGTTCTGGATCATAAAATAAAAAAATGCAGTAAATCTAAATATTATTTAATTAGAAATCCGTGAGCTTAAGAAAACATTTTCTAGGAATCATAAATTTCTACAAGAATTGTTTTCATTTTTCAAAAATTTTAATTAGAATAAATTATAAACTTTTAAATCTCTTAAAATTCTGTTCTGTATTAATTTGTATGGGTTAGGTGATATTGTTATTAAGTAAAAACTATATTTACTAATCATAAATGGAAAAGCAACCCCTAGTATTTTAAAAAGAATTTAGGATTTTTTTGTGTATAAACGTAACGATTTTGTAAATACGGACGTCCATACACAAAATTATAAGAAAATAAAAGCCGTAATTATAGTAAATTTAAAGCCAAAGTATCCAAAATTCAATAAAACATTAAATCACAGAGAATAGTTTACTAAATTTTAAAGATTACTGGGTAATTAAAAATTATATAAAAAAGGCGCTCGCGTTATATTCGTCAAGGTGGCGCGGGTGTTGCTTGTGCTATTCACTGTTACTTTGGATTTTTTGTGTTGAGTTCCATTCCATATGTGGCGGTTCTTTCAATGAATTTGTTGGTCAGGTTTTGCCTGCCTTAACGTCAATATCGTCTGCAAAACACAGTTTGGTGAAAGGTCTACCACCGATGGAAATAGAAGTATTGTGGTCGTGGAGTGTTTCCTGCTTACTTCTCTCCAAAAACAGGTTGAAGAGTGTTGGAGAGAGTAGGCATTTCCGGCTATCGCCGATAGTTGTCTGGAAGAAATCTCCCACTTGGTTACTCAAGAGAACTGCACTGGTGTCACGGGTCATAGAGCGCCTGGGTGACTAGTATGGGCCTTTTCTCTATGTTGAATCCCCCGAGGACGTGCCAATGGCCATTATGCCATACCCAATCATATGCTTTCTCGATGAAGACCTTACAATTGAATATATGTTCCATTGGTTATGTCCAGCCCGCTGACATTACTTTTTCAGCCTTGGATTTCAGGCGGTTGAGGATAATATGAGGTATGGATTTGCTGGCGTGCCTGATCAGGCTTATTGTTCTATAATTCTGGTATTGTTTGAGATTATCTTTCTATGGTAGGGGTATCACAAGTGGCTGGGTCCAATCTTTTGGTCTCTCCTGTTCCCAAATCCGTTGGCATAGAGCTGTTAGGGTCTTGACATTACTTATTGTAATATTACTTACATTAAAGTAAAAGTAATTAATATTTGTTTCAAATCAGATTAATTAAACTTCATATCAGCTAATATTCCGCAAATTAAATTTCAGAAAATTATATTTTATTTTTGGGAGATATTTTTAACAAAGAAAATTACATTGTACTGACAAATGTCTAAAAATGGCTAAAATCTGCGATTTTTAAAGATAAAAAAGAGCTCATTCGAATCAATATAAATTAGTTTTGGAAAATAGCAAAGTATTTTGATTATTGGAAGTATTAAAGTTAATCTATTAGCTTGAAATTAAAACTAAAATCAAAGCTTCAAAAAAGATTTTTCATTTTTAAAAATTCGTTTTAAGTCTTAAGTATCACGTTTCTTTGGAGGTCCCTAAAATAGGATAACTAATGGTGAAGGAAAATGGAGACAAAAGTTTGTAAACCCCATCTACCACCCGCAGTAATATTATCATCAGTGATCCTGATAATAATGTCAAAAATCTCCTTTTTCTTGAATACATGTACAGTTGGAAAACTAATCGACTCTTATACATAAGCACAGACCAATCCAACTTCCGATCTCTACACTGATACTGATTGTAACTTGCTAGGTCATGTTTCATTTGGTATTGTTAATTACATTGCTGGTGACAGAAACGCAAAGCGTTTATTCAAAAATTGAGTCAGGGTTGAGTTAATTAAACTGAACAATGTACTTTTGCGACACTGATGGGGATTGGTAGATGGATTGGCTGGTGTTGTCATGGAGATGTTGATAGCAAAGATGAATAAAAATTTGTATTTTCACAAAAATGAAACAAAAAACATACGAAAATTATTTCGTAACGCAGAGAAAAGCGATGAACGTAAAGAAGCATTTACTTTGTTCTTTTCTTCCAATTCTTGTAACAAAAACAATAATTATTCAAGTCTTATAATAATTATCTTCCGCTCACACGGTCTCACACAAGTCTTCAAGAATCATAAAACTCCTTGGGAGACTGCCACGTCAGACTGGTTCTTACTCACGGTGTGCGGTATTTAGAAAGAGATTTCGTATTTCCAAATGCTGATCACTTACAAAGACAAAATTACTTAGACAGAAAAAAAAAAGTTTTCTGATGGATATTCAATGGCACCATACCCCGCTATGCGAAGTATAGACTCGACTTGTTCTAATCTGGCCACTTCCTAATGACCTCCACCCTTAAAACACTGAAAACACTCTTGACGAGGATAAAAGTCGCTGAGAACTTTGGCTATAAGTTACAAAGTACTGTAGATAAACATCTTGACATCTTTCTTTCAGTTCTTCGCGTACGTTTGACCTTATACAGACACCAGACCACCAAATATGTTATAGATAACTGCCCATGATAAGGCGAAAGATTTTTTTTATCGCAAGTTTCCATCATTTATACAGAGAGAGCAAATAAGACCAGATGAATGATATTATTTTTTGTCGCTATTTTATATTCAAATAAGAGATTTTCTGAATTAGTTTATACAATTTGCTACATAAAAGACAAAAGTAACTCCGAAAAACATGTTTGAAAGTAATCAATATTTGATTTGTGATATAATCCTCAGATTATTATATTTGATACGTGAAGACAATCAAGGGAATATCTATCTATCTATCTATCTATCTATCTATCTATCTATCTATCTATCTATCTATCTTCTGTGCCTCCAAAGAAACGCGATACCTAAGATTTCAAAAGAATTTTTAAAAATGGAAAATTTTCTTGAAGCTTTTATTTTAGTCTTAATATCAAGTTAAATTGAATTTTAGGTACTTGGGCTTTAAATTTTCAACAGTTATCGCACTTACTTTTTATTTTATTTTATTTTTTGATAATATCGTGTATGGACATCCGTATTTAAACAAATCGCCATGACATGCACGCACCGGGTATATTTTTTTCCATCACACACTTGCCTGATTTAATAAAAGTTCCCAGTTTCGCACTACCCCTGCCGACTGCCCGATGATTGCATCAATACATGAAACAAACACTTGTGGTCATTCACTGCATGCCAGAAATTTAATTCATAATTTAGTAAAGCTCTGCCATTTTTTATGGCATGGAGTACTTCTACTTTTCGGTGTATATCTGGCACGGGACCACAAAATTTAAGTGTGTGGTGGGGTTAAGTCAGCTGTTAAGCTTTAAAGATGTTTAAGCTTTTCCTTCTATTTTTTTAAAATCTTGTGACTATTACCTCCACTTGGTGTGCCAAGACGCTCGCTAGGTGGCGCTGTTTCGTTTCATGATTATAAAAGAATGGATTAATCCCCGCTCTCTCTCTTCGTTCTAAAATGCGGTAGGTAGAAGACTTGTCCAGTCTTCCTGTCTCATACACGAAATCAAGCACCCACACGCGCGTGCATCCCCCTCCCACACACACCGCATGCACACTACTACTGCTATAAATGTTTTTCTTACTTTTTTCAACTAAATGTGTACACTAGTATATATTTTCTCTTCTTTATTAATCATGTTATTCGTTAGATAAAAATAATCCCCACTGTTGAAAAATTCTTGAAAAATGCTATTACCAAAGGTAAGCCCGAAATCAAGATAGGCGATAGGACAGAATGCAGGAAGTAGTGGAGACATTAATTTCCAAGGAATATTAGGGTAAATATACCGATAGCAAAAGCTCTGGAAATTTATCAATGTTCAGTTGGAATCGTGCCTTTCTTAAAGGGATCAATATATATATATATAACAAATAACAAGATCAGAGCCAAAATGACCGGTATTGGAACATAGTATAGGGTGGGGTAGATTTTCTCGTTCTCGTTTTCGCAAGGATGTCAATTCCAACGTGATGGAACGAGTCTTAATTGAAATTTGAATTCAATCTACCATTTCTGTTTATTAATTAGTTAATCATTACACGATCTCCATTTAATACACATTGCGTAATTGCAATTTTTACTGTGATTTTCTATTTCACTTCGTTATCGTGTCATTAGTTTCAACTTCTTAATCTCTTGCCGCCATCTTGGGAGAAGCTGTTTCGTTGTTGTTGTGACAGTAGCGAGGGTCAATGAGCTTTTAATGAATGGATGGGTCACTGAGTTTAAACTGGCAAGTCTATGAAGACTTCCCGTGCTTAAACTAACAGGATGAGGGGAAAGGTTTAGTTAATATTAATATAATAAGCAATGAATAATTCCTGTAATGACCGAAGTTTTGTCCAAAAAGGTTTTCCATAAACATCATTAAGTGCATAGCGACTCCATAATGGTTTAAATATTGGCACCTGTGTTTGGGCTTTAGCACCTGTGTCGAGGGGTGAGTGAGAAGAAGACATTTTCTTTCTGGGAAATTTATTTTTATTGTTAATTTTATCTTTATTTAGCGGAGTTAAGTATGTGATTTCCCTGAGACACGGAAGTTTTCATTATGTGTGAATCGTCATTTTAAATAAGCCAACTCGATCGGCAGTCGAATATACTGATGACCTGTATTAAAAGGATATGTCACTAAATGGTTTAACACCACCAACACCATCAATATAACACCCACAGTACCCATCACCACATCTCTGATTACCATTATAACACATACCCATCGTCCTTACTTAAGACCACCATCACAAAGAGCCACCATCCGCATTACGTACAACACTCACCCCATCTAATATCACCACCACCACCACCACCACTGTGTATCTACTGCCACTACCGTTATCCACTACCTCTACCAGACTTACAGTCATATGCTGAAACACCGATTCTCGTTCGATCACCGAAGTTAAACAACATTGAGCTTGGTCAGTATCTAGATGGGTGACAGCTTAGGAATACCAGGTGCTTTAAGCTTGGATGTTTGGTTGGTGTAATGAATATCGACTCGGAATGAGAAATCGGAGAGCTGAGTTCCAATTCCAGTCGAGTTCATTATATTCGTGTAAATGCCCTTGGCGAAGGCATGAATCTGCCTCTTACCCTTATTAAATAGTAGGACGTATCAGTAAATCATTATTATTTCCAAAAGAATTTTTAAAATTCAAATTCAGCGTTAAATGACCTTTAAAGCCGTAAAACACAAATCAATCAGTGAGTTAATCACCACGATCTATCCCCATTATCACTGTATCTCTTAATACCATCAACATTTGGACTCACGACTACCACCATTACTTCAATCATTCTACATCAACTCCAATAATAAACTAACTGCAACTAGTGTCGTTGATATTTACTAAGCAATTTCGTAAAAACACGAAACCAAAATGGAGGAAAAAGAGGCGGGAACATTGTATTAGGCCAAACTTCCGAATGATGAAAGCCTGTCTAGGTTGAAGATCAACATTCGAGATCCTATATTTTTTATACCAAAGTTTTACACACGGTTAACAAATACGCAACTATCTCAACCACAAAACAAATCTCTGTAACTGTTCTTATAATCAAAATGAAATTTTTCTGTCTGGACTAAAACAATTCGTTAGAATACGTACGTTTTGAGATGCCTTGTTAGTGAGTCTCGTTACTTCATGTGAATAAGACAAGTAATTTCAGAACTGAAGAAACTACTCTACTCTTCCTATCGCGTCTATTAAAGCATTTGTAAATTCTATATTGGGTTAATGGTTTGCACCTCTTGTCTGACTGTCCAGTAATAGTGAGTTCGATCCTCACTATGTAACCTTCACAAATTTCGACATTAAGAAAGGTTGTCATGTCGTAAAATTACCAAAACAAATCCTATTGTTATCATGCTTATGCTATTTAAATCATTTGAGTACCGAAGATTTTACAAATAACGTCACGAGTCCCATAACCGATTAGGGTCGTAGTGGTACCGTATGTACTGCCATTATAGCAGCAGGGGCCGTATCTTAGGAAAAATAATTTAACGGAGCTTATCCCTCTTCAGGTTAGTTTTGAATTTAGAGTTTTCTTTCTCTTAAACTTGTTGCCACCTACTGTTCCGACATTTGCCAAACATCATCGCGTATGGTACAAAGCTACAAGAGTAGGGCACTCAGTGTGGATCGAACTCACTACAAGCTGAATAATTAACTTTCTAATCACTACTTCATGACAAGGTGTTCAGTTTGACATTTACGAAGCTGAATTTAGTCTCATAGAATTAGTGAGTATTGTGACGTAGGCAAAGAATGTCGAGACGTAAGCGTTGTGTGACGTATGTGTGTGTGTTTTATTTTTATATACATTTAAGGATGTGGACTCTTACGTTAAAAAGTAAAAAGAGACTTATAATCCTTGAAACGATTATAAACTGGGTAACAGGAGTAACAAATTATTTGACAAATAATGCTTTGTTTTTCTAGATTTTTTTTAACTATCCAATAATCTTTAAAATTTAACAAGAAAATCAGTAATTTTATATTTTCTTGCATTTTAGGTACTTTGGCTTCATGGATTTTTTTAGAAATTTTCTAAAAATAGAGCATACTATGATGAAAAAAATGCGCCCAAATTTTAATCCTTAAAATCTTTATGTTATTATTAAGAGGAAAGACCGATTTTTAAAATTTTTTAATTATATTTTTTAATCCTTTTTAGATGATTGGAAATTTTTCTTAAAAATCTTTTCTTGCGTTATCAGATGAAATTTTGGCATCGCAAATTTTAACGTTTTTCGGTAAAAGACATTAATTTGGAAATTCTTACAAAAATCAAATAACTAGCGGATTTTAATGAAACTCTCAGGACTTATTCACAGATGAATAAAATTATTTAAAATTTTTTTTTTAGAAAATATTGGTAAATTTTATTTACACCGCCTTACTTAATTTTATGAAAACTCGAGATTATTTTGGAGAATTTAAATCATAATTGTTTTTTTGTTTTTTAATTCGCACCCTCTCTTAGCGAAAATCTGATTTTATCGTAAAATACAAGGAAATAACTAAGACATTATTTAATTAGAAAAGATTTTAATTGCTTTTACGAATAAGATATATTAAGGACACTGGTCACTTATTTTTTCGATAACTGGGGTCTTGATTGACGAAAAGCTTTCATGATTTAAATTCTCTAAGAACTTACAACTAATATATGTATTTAAGAAGCGCTACAAATGGACTTCACGAAATTTTGTAAAATTATATAAACCGGGGGTTGTTTGAAATAAATATTTTTACCAAGATTTTCTAAAAAATATAAAAAAAAAAATTTCTAAAATAAATTAAATAAAAACTGACAATTATCTGATTTTAGCAAGAATTTAAAAATCAATGTGTTTTTCTAAAATTTCCTTAAAAAATTAACCAAAATTTTGAAGGTTCTAAAAATGATTAAAGAAAAGGCTAAAAAATATAATTTAATAATCAAAACATTATTTAGTCTTTTCTCTTGTCTTAATAACAACATAAAGATTTTGACGTTAAAACTTTGTTTTTATAAAGTTTGGGCCATTCTTTCTTCATATATAACCGTTTCTTAGTTAATTTTTGAGGATAGCTAAATTTAGAGAATGACTAAAAATCCATCTGTTTGCTTCACCCACCGGCGATGGGTCAAAGGGGTAGGGCAAACAGAGCTTTCTAGATTTGAGTGACAATCGAAAGACAACCAGTTGAGACGTGGGGCTAGCAACTCCACCCTGTAAAAAAACTATTTGCTAGTGAATCCGCATCATTATCTTTCACAAACATGCTGTTGTTGTGGCTCTGGGCTACACGGGTATTCTACAACTGTCAAGAAGACGTTTATTTTTAACGCATGAGTAACACTTGGCCTAAACTAACTGACGCCAGCATGACTGTAGTCGTGGGGACTGGGTAATTTTGTACTTCGTCCATACGTACGTGTATGACAACTGATTTTAGTCCGACTTTGTGTCACATCCCAGCACAGAGGGAGTAGGTAAATGCTTACACTTTTACCTAATTTAACAAAAACTAAAGCATCTTATTAATTTTTTATTATTTTTTTTCTTTTATTTGATTTTTGTCGCTTTATATCGCAACGCACGGGTTATTTTAATTCTATGACCATTAAATTAATATTCACTGTGTTTCATGAAAGAAACAATTGTTGTTTCAAAATAACAGAATTGGTTGGGCTTGCAATAATAAATTGAGAAAGAACAAAATATTATTCTTTTATATTATTTGTAAAAACCTCGCAACTGACGAGGTAAAAATACGATCTCTAATGATCTTTCTTTCTTTCCTATTGTTTCTTTCTTTTTCACCTACGCTTTCCATTTCTTTTCTTTTTTCTTCGTTCTTTTCTTTTTCCACGACTATCCATTGTTCTGTTATTATCATCATTATTAATCATCTGAAAATGCTTGCAATTTCTGACTTAAAAAAAATCACATATAAAATACACATGAAGAAGAACCAAAAACAAATAGCCTGAAATGTTGTGTTAAAAATTTAAGATATAAATATAAGAAATATTAATTAACGTCTTAAAAATTGCTTAAGTTGTCGTGAAAGACGTCCTCTCAGTGTAAGAGGTGTGCGTTCGAGTCTCTTCAGGAGCTATTTTCCCTGAATTTTTTCACTTTTAATACACCGGCGGAAAGAATGAATCACCTAAAATTTGTTGTGAGAAAAAGCAACCACATGGGTGAACAACAATAAAAAAAAAAAAGGTGTGTGATAACAAAGACGAAAAATGCATGGAATACAGCATCCTCAGTTGACCCCACCCCCACCACACACACACACCTATGATTCGCCTTATTCTTTTTTCTACCCACCACAAAATACATTAACGGCTTTTCGGACAAGGTTATTTATTCATTTATATATTATAGCGGGTGATGGGTCGTCTGAATGACGCGCCTGATCTTCTGTGTGAAAAGAAGTTGCCCTCAGTACGCTTGAGGTCATAAAATATCATCGCATTCGTCCAATTAGTTACCACCTGTAATGTAGGCTTCAGTTCGATGTACAATAATCATAACACCCCTCACACTAGACTCACTTCAATCGGTGGACGAAAAGAAATAGTTATAAGGAAAGAAAAAAAAAGAAAAAAAGAAAGACAGAAAGGAAGAAAGAAAGATTGGAAATAACAAAAGAAAAAAATGACTTTTGACTTTTTTTTCTTTTAAATAAAAGAAGGAAATAATTTTTAAAAGGAAAGAATTATTAGGAAAAAGAGCGAGGTGAAACAATTTTTATGAAAGACATAGGGAAAGAAAAAAGAAAACAAGAAGAGAAAGAAAGATAAAGAAATTAATTGGAAATAATGACTAAATAGAAGAGATCACTAAAAGACAGAAGGAAAGAAAAGAAACTTAAGAGAAGAGAGTAAGGAGTAAGTTAAGAAAGAAAAAGACACAAAAGATGAAGCAAAAATGGTAAGAAAGTGGGTAGGGGAAATGAAGAAGAAGAAGAAGAAGAAGAAGAAGAAGAAGAAGAAGAAGAAGAAGAAGAAGAAGAAGAACAAGTAGTAGAAGAAGAAGAAGAAGAACAACAACAACAACAACAATAATAATAATGAACATATCAAATGAATTGAAAGGATGAGAAGAGAGAAATAAGAAAGAAAGAAATCGAGTAATTAAAGAAGTCAGACTAAAAAAAAAATGAACAGAAAAATAACAAAAGAGAAAATATCAAGAAGAAAACCAAAGAAAGAAAGAAAGAAAAATGATGAACGAATTTTTTTATGTTCAAGATCGGAAGTGCTCAGCACGACTTTGTTAACTGGCTCGAAAGAAGCATTTTTTCTCTTTCGGTTTTGTCCGGTAGAGAAGCAAACATCCGGAACGTGTTATTTCCATAAGAAAAAAATCGGTTGTAAATATGTTGTTTGAATGAGATGAAGGTGAATGCCCTACTGACGATGATTAGGATGTAAAATCGAATATGAAAATCGA